CCCCCCAAGACTCCAGCCCCAGCTCCGGCCCGGCTCCCGGCGGGCCGCGTCGCCGCCCCTCCCTGCGCCCGAGCCGTCTGGAGCCCAGCACACCCTCTGCGCACCCTCTGTGGTCCCACGTCCCGGGCAGGGAGGCCGGCACTGGGACGTGGCCCACAGCGGAGGCCCTTAGAGCGGCCCGTGCTGCGCCACGCCAGGAGGTAGCTGAGGTCCCTGGACACACGCAGAAACGATCCCCCAAGGGACCTGTCCCCGGGTGGCAGCGGGGATGCGGCCCGCAGAGCGCCCCTCGGGGCCTGCCCCGCACCCCACCCCTCAACACCAAGGCCGAGCCTCGGGTTCCCTCATGTGAAGGGGCAGTGCAGCCTCCGGGAGGGGCGGAGGAGCGTCACGAGGAACAGAGGCCTTTGTTCACAGATCATTACCCAGCTCATCGGTCCACCGAGGCCCAGCACATGGCCAGCACTCCAGCAAGGTCTCGAGGCTTCCTGAGGGTGCAGGACACCTGGAGGCAGAGGTCTGGCAGGTCACTCAGCCCAGACAGACCAGGGCAGGCAGTGCTGGTCAGCACGAGCATGTGCTGGTCGTGCGAAGGCCCCGGGGTGAGGAGTGGAGGGGGTGGAGAGACCCGGGCAGACGCAGGACCAGTGAGTGCCCGACAGAGGCAGGGCCCACACTCACGGAGACCTCCCCGGAGCGAGGACACGGAGGTGGAGAGTGCGCACAGCTCAAGCCCCAGCTGTGTGGCAGAGGAAGAGCCCTGAGGGGCCAGAGCCCTGCCTGGCGGGGGCCGCGGGAGGAGGGGGGCTGGGGGCGCTCAGCGCTCCTCTCCTGCTCCCCCCCACGACCCGGCCCACTCCCAGCATCTGGGCCTCTATTCCCAGGCCCTTGACCTAAACTCACGGAAGCCCAGAGAGGGTGAGCACCTTGCCCAAGGTCACGCAGCAGGCAGACAAGGAGCAGGCCGCAGCCAGGCCCCCCAGGCCCCCCTGCAGGCCTCCTGCTCCGGTCGGCCGGGGCCTCTCCTGTGAACCCCTCACGCTCCTGTGACCTGGGGGTCACTTGGAGCTCTGCTCAGCCCTGCCCCTGTGGTCTGGAAAGTTCCACAGGCCATGCTTACCTTTGGAGCTCCAGGACTGAGCAACCCAACCCCCTGGGCACACCGGCTGCCCGTGTCTCTCCTGGTGGCTGGTCACCACCAGCCTTCAGCCACCAGCACGGGCAGCCGGGCCTCGCACGGGCAGCCGAGCGGCTCTGGCAGGGTGGAAGGAATTGGCTCTTTCTCCGGGGGAAGGGGGCTGGGAGTGCCGGGCGGGCAGGCGGCTGGAGGACGGGGACCGTCCCCCCCTCTCAGGCCGCCTGCCCTGCCTGCGCTCACGGCAGGGTGCCCCGTGGGACAGGACAGTGCTGGGGGGGGCTCGGAGCTGGGCCTGGGGCTCAGACCCCGCCACGGGCTCCGGGCACCACCTTCAGCCAAGGCTGGGCAGTGTGCAAAGCCCGCCCTGAGTCTGTCTCTGGGGTCCAGTGGTGACCAGGACCGGCGCCACCCGGGCCTCTCCCACCCAGGGGACCGAGCGGGAGCCCAGGCCAGCAGGACAGCGCGGGGGGGGGTCCCCCAGAGAGGCCGCCCTTCCCGCACCCTCCAGGGCCAGGAAGCCCCAAGGCACCGCCATCTCCACACCCACCCTGCCTCCTCCACCGGGGCCTCCTCCCCACAGACACAGACGCCCAGAAGGGCTGAGCCCGGGGTCGCCCCCCGGGCTCCAACCCCAGCCCAACCCAGCAGCCCGGAAGGCAGAGGGCTCCCCCGAGGGCGCGGGACCCTGGCTTCCCTGCATTGCCCCGCACCCTCTCCCCGCCAACCCCATGCAGAGGCCCCGATGGAGCCTGGATGGAGTCCACACCCTACAACGCACCCCAAGGAGACGGGTCGCAGGGCGGCCGACCCCGGAGCTGTCCAAAGCCGTCCCAGTGACAGGCAGCAGCAGCCATCCAAACCCCGGAGCCCGAGCCCCGCCGCGCACCGATGCTCCCTCCTGCCCCTGTACGAAGAGCTGTGGACGTGTGGCGAGCTGGGGCCACGGGCAGGGGGCTGGGTGGGAAGCGGGCGCGGGGCCCGGGCCTGCGATGTCGGCTGGCTGGACGGGTTTGGTCTACCACGGACAAACACATCCACAAAGAGGGCTGGCGCCGAACCAGGGGCAGACACGGCTCTGGGGCTCGGAGTTGGACCTAAGAATCTCCTGGCCTCGGGTGACCCTTGGTCGGGGGCGGGGGACCGGTGATGCTTGAGCACGTCGGGCCAAGGCCTGCCCGAGGGGGCGCCTGCCCCCCACCGCGGAGCCCCGGCCAGTTAGCCGCGCAGGGAGGCCCTGTGTGGGTCTGGGTTCGAGATGCTGCGTGCAGTGGTGAGGAGGTGGCGCCCACCGGCGTGGGCTGAGGCTCCATTTGCCACCCACAGGAGGTGGTACCTGGATGCCAGGGCCTGGCTCTGGAAGATTCTGTGGCAGGGTTGGAGGGCAAGTCCCTTGAGAGGACAAGCAGCCCCAGCAACCGCGGGGCTCCCCGACCCGCCCCATCCCTCCCCACACAGCCCACAGCCCACAGCCGCGGGGCTCCCCACACAGCCCACAGCCGCGGGGCTCCCCGACCCGCCCCATCCCTCCCCACACAGCCCACAGCCCACAGCCGCGGGGCTCCCCGACCCGCCCGCGGCCTCCAGATCCACCAGCACCAAGAGCCCTCTCCTCGTCCTTCAGCGGGTGACGGGGACTCAGTCACGGAGCTGCGCGGGTGGCAGAGTGGCCGAGCCCCTCCTCTCACCCGGGCAATGCGCTGTTCCAATAAAGCTTTATTGACACCAACCCCCCCGCCAGGCGCCGGCGCCTGTCATCAAAGCCACTCGAGGCTGAGATCTGAGCATCATGGCTCAAAGCCAGCCCAGGCCATGAGACTCTTATCGCCAATAAACCACTAGAAAACCAGAAGTGGTTCAGTGGCTCAAGTAGTAAGAGTGCTGAGTTCAGCCCCAACAACAAATAAAACCTTAAAACGCAAACACCGCTCCTTTGCAAAGCCCTTCTGGTACTGGCCACCATGCAGGTCCGCAGCCCCCATCAGGGCCTCCGGGATCCTGGCAGGACGCAGGCCTGGGAGCCAGGGGCCCCCCGGAGCCCCCCTCCGGAGCATGCTGGGCTGCAGGCCCCGGCTGGAGGCCCGGAGCCGCAGCAGGTGCTCCGGCAGCAGGGAGCAGCCATGGATGGGGGTGGCAGGGCCGCCTTGTCACCACACCGCTAATTGGGAGCAGTTGCTCTTCCAACCAGAGACTTGTCAGCTGTGATGAGGCCAAGTTGCCTTCAGGCCAATCAACTTCAAAACGATGCAAATTGGGCAGCAGTGGAGGCCATGGAGATGGAGCCAGGGCCTGCGCCCCA